TACTGAAAGCTTAGGTTAACCGGATTGTGGGTCCGGATAGCTCTAGCGACGATGCCTCGAGGATAAATTAGTTCTAAGGGTATAGGTGAGTATCCGGAACTTCGTAAGATATAATGGTAATACAGAGAGAGTTGTATTACAGAGGGTTTAATTGGATAGCTCAAGTAATAGTGGGTTATAGGTACGACATCTAGTGTAGAATCTAGTAATAGGTAGATACTTAATTAGACACTCAAAAGGCGCAGGTATGGCTAGTATGTACTCTCTAATGTATGGGTTGGGATAAGCCCCTTACTCAGTAAATACCTGAATAAAAAACCTTAGTCCCAAAGAAGCTAGTTAAAGTTAAAAAAAAAAAAAAAATTTTTGAACTATTATACTATATCTTAGGCTATATAAAAAAAATTTTTTGATTTTCATAACATAGAGATGTTTAAACTGACCCGGCCGGCCAGCTGGCTTTTTTTTAAAAATTTTATATATAAAAATTTTATAAATTATTTTAAACTTTTTTTTTAAAAACCTACCTGGTTATTAAAACATATAAAAAAAATTTTTTACAAGTTTTCAAATTTTGACCCAGCTGGGTTATGAAAACCAAGAATTTTTTTTTATATGGCCTTATAAAAAAATACTTTTATTTATAACAAAATTTTTTTGAATGAATCTAAAATTTCCTGAATTGTATAAAATTATTAATTTTAATTAGTTAATTTATGTAAAGCTATAAGATAAATTTAATATTAAAATTTTAAAAATAATGTGTTTGTTACCGACGGTAATAGCATCAGAGTGTGATCAACAAATACATTATAATCAAAAACAATGTGTCAAAACTTACTATCATTAGAGTTGGGTTAGAGTCATAGTTATGGTTTGCATAGGTTATAACATATAGTAAAATTTTGCAAGGAATTTTTTTGTTAGAATGCAAAATGTGAAATTTCGAGATAACAACGATTTTTTAATAAAATCAAAGTTTTTATATTTTTTACATTACACATGATCCTGAATCTAATTGGTCGATCACACTCCGGTACTGTCACTGCTGGCGACAAATAGATTTGCTCAAAATTTTATATCTAATTTTTAAATTTTCATATCTTACTAAGTTTTTAACCAATTTTAATAAATTTATTATTATTAAAATCAAAAAAACCAAGGATGTGGTGACTTAGTGAAGTTGGCAAGTTGTTGTACCCCCAAGCAGCAAGACTAGAGTTCGAATACCACTGGTGATGAAAATTCAAATTATAGAAAATGCATTTGGAAGACTATATCCTATTGGGTTGTAGAACCTGTAATGATAGTTGTACCAGCTTGTACTGGGAGGTAGTAGAACATGTAGTATGATATACAAGTTACATAAAACCTGAGTAAAACTATCGAATAAATCTAGCAAATTTACAGAGTATGGGAGCCTGCTTGGCAAGACCCGAATGAAGAGGTAGCACAGATCTTTGACAGTTACTATGTAAAGGATAATCAATCAGATACTAAAAAACCAGATGGAACCGAGGTGTTTGGCAAAAGCATTATACTAACTAGGCTAATAGGGAAAAACAGAGGAAGGATTCCACTCTTCTAGGCTGTAAGATTGGGAGTTTGAGTTTCTGAAGATATGGGAAGGAGTCTGTAAAGTAGATACTGGAGTTTGGATAAACTCTACAAGGGCAGTAGTAGGTAACTGTAACAGCTTTGGCTCACAAGTACTTATTCTCGAACTTAGTATAAATTACCGAAAAGGCTTAGTCTGAAAATATGTAGGATATAGAAAGATTAGAGAGATATATACTACACCTTCTCTAGAGCAACCTGATAAGTATAAAAACCCTACTGGGTTATATATAGAATTAGAACACAAGTAGTGTAACACATGTTGATTTGGGTGGTCTTTAAATATAGCAGCACGAGATTATGAGCCAGCATAATTGTAGGTGATAGTAAATATACTACTTAAATACCTAATAAAAATTCGCCTGTTCGCGACATTGTGAGGAAAAAAAAAACAAAAAAAAAAAAAAAAAAAAAACAAAAAAACCTACTCTACAAAATTTAAATAATAGTTAAACATCAGGAAATTTTGAAACCTGATTATAATCAATTGCAAACAATTAATTGATTATAATCGATTGGTTTCAAGCGATTATAATCGACAGTGGTGTTGATAATCGATTCATATCCAAATTGATAATAATGATAATGAATATAAATCTATATATATAAGTTGATTATAATCGATAGTTTCTATATATATCGATTATAATCGACGAAAACCCAATCGATTTTAATTGACGGTGGTGATAAGAATCGTTTAAAATCCTTAGATTTTAATCTATAATAATCTAATTTTAAATTTTTCTGATGAAATTAGTTTGCTTAATAAAATTTTTTATAAAATTAAATATAAAAAAATTTGTCATTAAGTTTATATATAATTTTAAAATAGTACTATCTACCCTTAAAAATTCTTTTAAATTTTATATACAGTATCTGTAAAATTTCAAAAAAATTTAAATATTAAAAGTAATTATTTTATTTAGATATTCTTAATCACAATATAAAAAAAAATTAATAATTATCAAATTTTGAATATTAGTTAAAATTTCTTTTAAAAACTTAAATATATATACAGTATTTTAATAATAATGTAGTCAATCTTTTTTGAATTATATAGTTTTGTAAAATTCAAAAAAACTTTGACATTAAAATTACATTGTTACTAAAATATTACTATTAGAAATTTGTTAAAAATTAATTTTTTAACAAACTTCTAACAATCAATTTTGACATTTAAAAGCGCTTTTAAATTCTACAAAACTGTAAAATTTAAAAAAGATCTTAATTATCAAGAAATTTTATATAAAATTTTAAAAAAAATCTATTCAATATTATAGTTATACATTCGGGTTCACATAACATTTATATGATAAATACCTACTATGTATTAAAAGAACCTATTGACCTGTAGATGTAGGAACCTACATTCAAGGCACTCTTTGTTTACAGAAAGTTTGAAAATACTACGCATAATTTTAAGAGATCTACGAGTGCAGAAAACTTCTGTCGGGTACTGCATATTCGAATCTCGAAAGAAAACGATCGAAATTGTGATTCGAATTTTATTTTAAGTGTTAAAACCTTTCATTTTGATATATTTTTCACTTATTGTATACATATTTAATATAACTTAGACCTACTGTAGTTATCGCTTTATTCAATATACGGGGACTCCCACAGCAAAAGGGGGCAGTGGGCCAAAAATTTTGATCTAATTCTTCGAGAAATTGTATTTTTAAAAAAAATTGTTTATTTTTGCCCACTGCCCCCTTTTGCTGTGGTAGTCCCCATAACTTGCTTTAATCACAAAATCTCTTAAATTTTTAATTTGAAAATAAAAATGAAATTTTAATAATTTATAGCATTGATCTAACAAATTTTATTAGTTTTTGAATTTTACACTATTTGATTGAGAATGGAAATATATTTAGACTTTGTTATTCTAAATGAAGTGAGAATCTTGATTTCCAAACTCAACCTATGTAGTAATGTCATAATTCAAAAAAAAAAAAAAAAGGATTTGAATTGCAATTCTACTCCCAAGTACCGGATGCTAATTTGGGTTTATCCCATTCACGTACACCATCATAAGTAGTATCTTTAATATTTTCATTGGTTTTTAAACTTTCAAGATCCCAACAACCGGTTAATTTGGGCATATCCCATTCACGTACAACTTCGTCTTTAGTTTTTTTACGTTTTGTCGGCGAATC